GGTTACGTCTGACCCAGGATCTGAGTAACACAAAAACTACCCAAACATTGGGTTATGTCTGACCCAGGAGCTGCAAAACAACCCAAACACTGGGTTGTTACATTTGACCCAGGAGCTGGGTAACACAAAAACTACCCAAACACTGAAAAAATAACCCAAAAAAATTACCCAAAAGGCTCAACCCAGCATTTGGGTTAAAAAATAACCCAGGATTTTTTAGAGTGTTCTGCATTACCACTCTTCTATTTGTCTTTTGACAGACCTACCAGCACAGAGCAAACATCTGTTTATGGGTGCTTAAGAAAAGGGATTTTTGCATAACTAGCCTCTGATGGTGAATTTAAGTTTCTTTATTGCGGCATAACAATTTTAAAACAGCTCTCTCACAGGATACATTTTTTTGAAAGTTGTCCAAAATCCTTTTACTAAAGCCCCACCCTGGCCGTAAATTTTCAACAAATGGTTTAACAAAGATTAGCTGCTGGAATGGATTAGAGTTGTGAGAAACAACAGAAGCCCTGAGGAACAACAGACTGCTCCCCAGAAAATTATGTTGATATGTGCTTAGCATGCCCAAGCCAAGGTTCCTCCTGAGCCATGTATGTGTTAATTAAAGCAGTTTGCAGTGGGCTCACAACACCCTTTGGACATGTTTCTTCCTGGACTATCAATGGCAGTATGACTAATTAATTTACTGAGTATTAACATTTACTCAGAGGACCATGATGATGTGGCCTACTGTTCTGAAGTGTTACCGGCTAATAGAATATGACTTCAGGGTCATAAACTTTTTTTTCCCCCCAACTGGGTCAACTGTTATGCAAATCGATCTGTCACATGGTTCTCTGTCCAAGTGCCCTTCGATCATTAGTGCATTTGATTGAATGATTGTCTACTGAGCTTTACTGTGTCAATAACGTCTGCTTTGGTATAGGCCATGATTTATCTGGTGGAAAATGTGCAGATCTAATTGAATTAATTAAAGGGGTCATATGATGCGATTTCAAGTTTTCCTTTCTCTTTGGAGTGTTACAAGCTGATTGTGCATAGATAAGATCCCTGAAGTTGCAAAGACTAAAGTCTCAAAACCAAAGAGATATTCTTTATCAAAGTTAAGACTCTGCCACGCCCCCCTAAAACGGCTCATTCTAACACGCCCCCACATATCTACCCCACTATGTGGAAATATTTGCATAATCCCGCCGCAAATGTGCACGCAAAGAAAGAAGGCATGGTGTCAGTAACCGCATAATGATCTTTAAAAAAGCATCATATGACCCCTTTAAGTGCCTGTCAATTACTGCTGTAGTTGAATGCTAGTTCAGAACATAAACACTTGATTGAGGAGTCCTTTGGGAACCAGTTAAGAACTGGTGTTTTAATGAATTGTACTCAGTGATCGAACTGAGCCGGTAATCGGTGGCTTCATGGCTTGGTATTGTTTGGTAAGGTTTGCCTGTTACTTTAGCTTCGGAATCTATTGTTGCTTATTCTGTCCATGTATAAATGAAGCAAAGGTCTGACTTTTTGAACCACCAAGCATGCATTGTTTTTGTTTTTTTAATGTGTGTGTAATTATTAATTATTAATGGGTCATTTGGGTTAAAAACCTATAAACACTCAGTATATATCAAATGGTCTAGAACAGACAATGCAATAGTGGTAAAAGCATGTTTATTCACACTTATGTGTTGCGGCATTACTGTTGGATCCACACTAGTCAGATTCAGCGCAGCACCATCATTTACTTTCAGCCTGCATCATACTTTCTTGTTTAAAAATTAATCTGTTGCAAAGTAAAGCAAACAAACAGTGTTTCATTGACGCGATCTGGAGCTCTTTGCTAATTTTACCCTGTGTTTACACTGGACGTGAGTGGCGCAATGCAACTATCGACAACAAAACCCATTATAATCGGTGATTCTGTCTACACTGGATTCGGCACGGATTGACACAACAAATCTCCGACAGTAAACTGATGTCCCGCTCTATTTCTGACATACAAGCATTCGCACCGCTTCTGACCTGAAAGAGAAATGGATTTGCGGCATGATGCAACAGCGCTCGCGTCCGATGTAGACATGTTAGGATCACAAGGAAGGCAATTCAAAGACTATTTTTTACAACTTACAGTACACAGTGTCTTGTAATCTTGTAATGTCATCTGTATGGTTCTGTTGATGGAGTAATCCTGTGTTTGCGTCTCTCTAGTGTTGTAGAAGCAGGCGTTGATCTTTTCCTGCGGAGGTGGTGCTTAGCCACACTATTATGTCATAAAGTGGCAAATTCCAAAACGAGTCGTTTTCTGAGCTTGGTTTCAATAAAAGCTGTTTTTAAACTAACGAGAAATGTCAAAAGATCAAAGGCAATTAGATTTTTCAGTTCATGACTCCTTCAATATTATGCTAATGTTATTCTCAAGTTGAAAGACACTCTACAAGCACTTTTTACATCCAAGTCTTAGACTCTTGCCTCATTACATACTGGCCTGGTGAGTTTAATCTTACACCTATAACCCTGTTTACAGAAAAACAACAGCTTTTGTATTACTCAGTGTCATCTTCATGTTTATTCCTGTTAATGAACAGATATGTTGATCATTATAATTGTGTTCAGAATGCAATCAGTTTGCAACACTTCTCCTGCCAGTTCAGAAGTGGCCATGGCAGACATTCGCAGCAGATGAGCTGAGATCCAGTGTCTGGCAGCGATTTACTGCTATATAACTATGAGCCTGATGGGAAAGACAGCTTTGCAAGATTTGAGACCTGCTGTATGTAGCCAAAGCTGTTTCAAAACTGTCCGTAACTCCGCATTGCACGTTTTCAGTGCTACTTTTCTACACATATCCCCATCCTCCCCTTTCCACGTGACTTTGAGTGAGGTTAATTATAGACTTGAATAGCCTGAGATTGAACGAGTCGGCCCATCACTTTGCTGTCCATGTAGCCATCACTTTCTATTTATCTATCTATCTATCTATCTATCTATCTATCATTCGATCTTTCATTTGTTCTATCATTCTATCGATCGTTCTATTATTTTATCGTTTTATCAGTACAATTTTCAGTAGTCTTTAGGACACAGACTCATTGTGATGCTGGCAGTGACCATGTGTCTTCTCTGCTGAATATTATGGTTGGAGAAGGATCTCTTGGCCTTGTGGTAAGCTCTGTCTCTGGAGGTGGAAGTCTACCTGTGTTTCTCCCTGATCCCATTGTTTGAAGTGCTGCACAATGTCTCATCAAATGAATCTCAGAAGAAAACTCTCAACCCTTTGATGCTATGGAGTACACTTTTGGCTCTAATAAGGATATATGTCTGGGGACTGTGTAGTGGCATCTTCCTGGTACAGTCAGAACCCTATACTGAATAATAAACAAAAGTCATAACACCGATTTCTGCAAGTTTTGCTTTGTCTATATCATGTTTAGTAACTAGATTTTTACAGTTTTTCTTAATAGCTTTGGCATATTTTTCGGAACATTTAACATTCTCTAAACTGTAAGTGCAATTGTCACAACTGTTTCCTGGAACATCAGAACTCTATTGTTGGCCTGCAAAATGTAGTATCTCATATCAAAACATTTAAAGGGGTCATATGATGCGATTTCAAGTTTTCCTTTAGTGAATTCAGTTCCCCTGTTTCCCCTTCGGCATGCATGCTGACCACAGTTTTAGTGGTTTTGTCTCATCGCGCCGGGACACGGCATCACAGTATGGTAAGGGGCGTAACATTTCCGT